AAAAACGTGGAGAACACATGATATTGCCGTTTAAAAAGAGGGAAGATCATATATTAACTAGACAGAGAGTAATCCTAAAATACATGCAAAAAGCTGTTTTTCAGCAATTAGTGTAACAGCGCCAAGTGGGAAAAGGTGAAACTGAAGTGGAAAATATTTTATCTTCTATTTTATTTATCAGTGATTCTCTTTAAATGTACAGCTGCTACTTATTTAAGACACAAAAAACATGATTAAAAGGATTGACCACAGATTGATTTCCTTTTGTTTGTAGTTTTGATAAGAGTCGTATACTGCCAACTTACTTTTTATTTTTTAATATTTTTACTAGTTGCTTCATCCCAAAATGACAAAGTCCTGTCCAGTCTTTCAGAAAATAAATAAGTAAATAAATAAATAAATAAAAATCTGTTGCTTTAATGTCACCCCAACATGCAGCAGTTCCCATAACATTCAGCCTTCTTAAAGTGAAAAATAAAGCTTTTGTTGACACTGAACTTGCAAGGGTTAAAACATGCAAAAAGATCCTTTTGTTTTGCATTGGGATGATAGAAGTTTATACTGTGAGCACACTGGTGTTTTCTGTATCTCTGCTCTTTCATGAGAGGAACAGGCACATAGGAAAGTATATATATTTCTTATTACTTTGTGGATTTTTACATGTTTCATTTCAAGAGTGAGAAGTGACCACTGTTCTGGCTGTTTATGTCAGGTAAGATAACATTACAAAATAACATTTGAATACATTTTAACTAAAATATTAATGAAATAAACAAGACAAGTCTGATAAAATATTACAATTCATGTCATTTAACATTTTTATATGCTTTAGTCTACAGTCTTCTCTTTTCTTTTTCTTTCTTGTTTTGTTTGACAAATACTATAATTTTTTTTTCCTGCTGTAAAAGCTGAAAATGGGGCCTGTGACTAATTTTTAGCTTTTGCTGAATTTCCTTATATTTACGTTTGTTAATTTAAGCAGTTTATTTAATCCAATCTGGTTTGTTTTATATTTTACTGACTGTTATTGTTATGAAGCACTTTGCCAGCCATTGTGGTTTTAAATCTGCAATACAAATGAAATTAGATTTTATTCGACAGCTTCTAAAATACAACAAAAAAAATTCAAGCCATTCTAAACCCTTACTTCAATAACACAAAAGTGAAAGTTTACCACACACAGCTCTGAAAAGTCAAGAAACTACTTTACAGTTGTCATATTTTTCAGATTTTACATGTATATTTTTGGGTATAATTAATTTGTGTTACTCTTGACATTTCTACCTAAACCCAAAAAATATTTGTCATTTTAATATTAAGATTTCAGATATTTATTTACACTGCTTTCCTTACTTATAACTCCAGTTGTGATGCAAAGTGTTCTCAGACTCTCAAGTAAGTCATGTTTTTATGTACCGTAAAAAAAAAATATTTTGGCCCATAACAATTGCTATCCACAAAAGCTTTCTGACACAGTTATGATACAAAATAAAACAGAACATCAACTCTTGTATCAAAAAGATGCAGAGGGTGAACCCTAAACCCCCAGATGTGTCATTTTTATACAAAACTTCAATATTTTTTTAAATAAAAGTCAGCACTTTCTTCAACAGCATAATGAATTGAGAAAATATGATGCAAGAAACATTTTAGACATTTTCAACAACACTAACAAAGGTTTTGATTTTTTAGCCAAAAATGTTAAAAGTAAGCAAAGTGTGCCAAGTGTCTTTCATAACGCATACAAAGTGTGTCCTTTTGCTTATAGCTAAGATGGAACAAAATGTGAAAACTAACCAATATTTCAACAAAAATAGTCTTGTTTTGTTAAACAAATCAACAGTAAATTTTTAGAGAATATATGTGCAGCAATCTGTAGCTCCCACTCAATAAGCACATCTTACACAGACTCTACGAAATTACAAAATATGTGGTGAATAAACAAAGTTTTAAATGCATACCTTATGAGAAACAGCATAAGCAGAAAAGCCTCATGTCTCAATGACAATATAAAACATCTTGGGAATACCAAGCAATTTTCCAGAAAATGGCCCCTTGTTTTGTTTGTTTGTTTGTTTGTTTGTTTTAACACCAGAATTTTCTCACAAATACTTCTTGTATAACGATTCCAGTTGTTTAATTATTTTCAGACCTTTGTATTCATTTAGTCATTCATTAAAAAGTTCACCCAACTTGAACTTTTTAATAATGTAAAACAAATTAGCGACGTAAACAGGCATATTGTTTACGATAGTATTTCATTAAGTGGTTCTAACATGTTTCAATTACTTCGACAAATGACGCTCCTTCCCCCCCGCCCCCCACCCCCCCAAAAAACAAACAAAAAAAACACGTTCACACTCTTAGCTCGTTAAAAAAATAATAAAATAATAATAATAATAATAATAAAAAGCATGCAAAGCAAGTAAGGCAAACACAAACTTTCCATTGCCTGGTGAATCCTTCCCTGCACAGGCTGCGGTTGATCCGGTCTGGCATGCGGATGTTCTCCTCTCAGCATGTCCCAGTTCTGATCCCAGAAATGAATCCCGGCGCTTAATTGACGTTAAAAGGCATTCTGTGTAGGCCCAGGTGATTTATTTGGGGATTTTAAACTATCGCATTAAGGCCGGGCGACGGTGTTCCTGGTTAATGTAGGTCAAAGCAGTGACGGAGGGAGGTGTCCTCCGTTGAACCCGCGGTATTATTGTCTTCCAAGCAGACCTGCAGATGGCGCGCACAGTCAAGACAGGGCCCCGGGTTCTCACTACAGCGTGTGCACTCACGTAAGAATATCCCGTACGGTAGTGAGAGATGGCGGTGGTCTTAAGAGACACCTCTGTCTCCTCATGTTCAGCTGGAGGGCTGTGCAAAGCAAAGTTCAAGAGGGCAGCTTTTCTTGGAGGGAGTTCAGGTCCCGAATGCTGAAACTCGGTGAAGCGTTAACCTTAATTGACCTCTTTGTCAATTAAAACAAAACAAAAACATGAGGCAGATCCACCAGTGGTTGCTACAAAAATAGTATGGTTTTACTCAAAGTATTTCCCCCTTCTACGTGGTTCATTATTCGGAGCTGGGCAACACACACACACCTGTCACTGTCTAGACGGGGAGGGGGGCATTAAGGCGGAGGGTATCCCACATGAGCCAACACTGCTTTTCTTTTTTTTTTTTTTTTCTTACACCACCCAGAATATATCTCTAAGCTTCCTGAAAATGACAGCACAAAACAAAAAGAGAGGGGAAAAAACACACGACTCTACCAAATCTGATTGGCCACTTGTGAACCGACACCATTTTTTCTCCCCCCTGCTCGTAAACTCGAGGTCAGCTCGGGACGTTAAAAAATAAATAAATGAGAAAATAGAAATGCGTAGAAAGTAGGAGACACGGGCAGTCAATCTAGCTTGTTGTGCGCCGGGGAAGGATTGACGGGCGCCGTCGTCCAATCAGCGGCCGCGGAGCGGGTAACTTGCTAGACAGACACCGGACGTGTCCAATCAGAAGTTCAGACCAATGATGGACGTGGAGCTGACAATACCCCTCTTGTTCCCTTTTGATCCAGATTTTGGAGTTCATTCATATTTGTCAAGCAGGCACTGAAACCGCCTCAATAAATATAAAAACTGCGCAAGAATGGGATATGTTTGTAGGTTATTAAACATCCTTTACATATTGTTTTCAATTTATACAAACATTAAAATAAATACAGTCGCTGCGTGTAGGTGAAAGGAACTTGAATCAGTGAAGTACTATCACTACAACTCCCCACAACCTCCCACAGAGAGCCATAATGATCCCACCGTGATTCCCCTTCGCCCTGCGATTGGGGCGCTATAATGTTGACGGATTTCTGCTCCAACCCAAGACAGTGCGCTGCGCTTCCAATGGCAGCTTCAAGTGAAAAGGCGTGCCTGGTCATAGACATAGGACTCTAGACGCCGCATCAGCGTCCGTGTCGTACGTCTGCATCTCCGCCATCTTGTGAGTGGAAAAGAACCGAGCAAGACAGCTCTGGTTCAAAGGTCTTACTGTAGGTCAAACATTACTGTTTGATGTCTTGATTATTAAGCTTTAAAAAAATCGATTAATTAACATTGAAATTCAAAACAATTTAGTTTTCTATAAACATTTTCTGGACATTTAGTCACTTTCAACTTAAAATATATAGCACAATCCTCATCTTTTTGTAATAACAGCATATAATTACTAAGCATAATTAATACCCACCTCATAGCAATTTCTTACCAGTAGCAACATAGTATCTCTACTGTTGCTTAAAACTTCAGATTTACTCTCACCATTAATGATAGAACCATGCTAAAAAACACAACTGAAACTGAAAAATGTGTATTATTTTTGTTTTGTTCATATAATCATCCATAACCTATGCTATATCTGTCACATCAAGTACACAAATTTGTTATTTTTTATTTGTAATTTACAAAATTATCATTACCACCCCAAAATGGCCAACAGAGACAAACAGACAAATGGTTATGATATGAAAGAAGCCTTTCACATGGAAATAGTTTGTTTGGGGTATAAAATTGGTGTAGAAAGGGTCAAAAAGGCAGTGAATGGGTATAAAATGTGGTACAAAATATTAAATAAGATGGCTCAGGTACACTAACTTTAAGGATACTTTATTATACCTCATACTGAATAAAATTAAGAGCTTTTATGTATTTTCAGGGGCCAATAAAAGGTAAGCTAATTTTATTCACAATGTCATTTGGAAATGTTCATTTCAGTGTATCCAATTAGTAGCAATGCAACTGAAAAGTTTGTCTTTAATATTTAATCTATAAAACCAAGATGAAAGGAAGCTTTAGTGTTTCATTCAGACGGAAAACAGTTTGTCTTCTTGCCACTCGCAATATGGCGGACGCGCTGACGTATGTTGTCCACTGGACAACGAAGCCAACGGGGCGTCTACTCCTCTACGTCTATGTGCCTCCCCAAACACCGTCACCCACCACCACCACCACCCCTCAAAGTACTCGATGTATAGTTAAAAAATGGGAGGGCACACTTGAACCGAGCTCTTCTATGAAGGTAGGCTGCAGCGTGTGTTTATTGATGAGATGAAAAGAAGATGGAAGTGAGAAATGAAACAAAGTAAAGGAACATACTGAGAAAGAAGAAAAGCAAAGTAAACACGCTTCGTCGGGGGGAAAAACAGGGAAACACTGTCGCCACTTTTTTTGAACGAGCTTCGAAGTGCAGGTAAGAAATTTGAGAAAAAAGTAGGAAAGGGGGGGTTGGTCTTTCGGCTCCAGCGGCTTGTAGGTTGTTATATTTAGTGGAAAGGCATGTTACAGAATAAAATCCTGATCGGTGAGTTTAAGGGAGTACACGCATGAAATGCAAGACACTTCCATGTAGTTAGAGCTGGCTTTACTAACCCAGTAAATTAGGCTGTACACAATATAAACTTAATTTATTATTTTTTATTGTGGACCTTTAATAAAAACCACTGTAAATAAAACGCCATTAATAGGAGTCGCCTGTAAATCGAGTTTTCTGTCCGTACTACCAAAACGCGTTCTCTTGGCGTGACGCAAGTTTCCCATCTGTCATTTTCGCTCGAGCCCCCTTCCTTTTACTTTTAAACTGTCATGTGGGGACACTTGCAAAGAGTCCTGGTCCGGTCAAAGTGTGTCCACAGGTCGGCTTTTCTCTCCATCAGCGATGCTGGCTCACATTTTACACACTGAGCCCCGGAACAACTGGAGGCAGGCAGCCCGACGTGCGCATTTTGGCTTTTAGGTCAGTTATTTGAGGCAGCTTGCTTTTTATTACTCCACTTTGCTCCAAATATATATTGCAACATTTGGTTGAGCTCGTTTGTACGGTTCGGCTTTATTTAGCGTGAAGTCTGTCACTTAGATGTGTGCGGGGTGCATTTTTATTAATTATTACCCTCAAAGTGATGCATTCAGGCGACTGGATAGAATTTGGATAGGAGAAGGAGGGCTGTTATTGGGTCTCATGGTGCAGCAATAGTGAATTTGGGTGCCATGTTTATATAAAAAAAGAATGAACACTTATGCCTGCCAGTGCTGCCCTTTTTCTTAGAAAAATAAATTTTTTAACTCGTCGCTTTCAGTTCAGATGTGCAGGGATGCTCCTGTGTAATTAAAGTTGCAGGAGTACCTTTTGATACATTTTATGAGCGAAATATTCATGCGTCCAACTCGTGATTCCTTTGCCCTACATCTGCAGCTCATCATGGCGCTCCTAAATAAAGTTAAAAATATATATATATTTCAACGTTTGCACGCAAAGAAAAATAAATGAATAAATAAAAAAAATAAATAAATAAAAAACTGGGCTACGCGTTAAAAATGCACCGAGAGGGTCACGGGGAGTTTATCCCGAGCAACATGTCAGTCTTGCTCATCTTTATCGTTGCTCGAGTGTGCGTGCACGTGTGAGGCGAGCAGATGTTGTCCCAAAGCGCTCGGCTTTGTCAGATAAAGAGGGAATACAGCATGTTCTCACTACAATAGGCTGCATGCACATCATTTCAATGTGTTCTGAAGTGCAGCTGAGGAGAAGTTGAACGCAAGTTTAAAAATCGTATTTTTTTTTAAAAAGCCATTCCTTGCATGCATCGGTCAGGTATCCGTGTTATTTTATTTTTTTTATTTTTTATTTTGCTTTAAATGCGCGCAGATGTGCACCTGTGTATAGATGTGTGTAGGTTTCCACAACGAGATTGTGCGTTTTTTTTTTGTTTTTTTTTACTCGCAATTTTGTTGTGATCACTCCCTCTCTCCGCCTTCATTCACAATGTGGCTTCACAACGTAAACGGGTTGCAGTCCTATAGGATTTGCTCGTTGCAATCGCAGACTTCTCTCTGGATCATTTATTTTCTGAATGGACGCGCTGAGCGTGCTGCACACAGAGCTGAAATGAAGACAGTAGTAAATCTGTCCCGTGACTTAAACCCTATAGATTTGACTGTATGAGTGAACGCATGAAATGTGGATTAGTTGAGAGAGATACCTCCTATCTACAATGAAATTCCACCTGTGCCATTGTTTAGTGTATCATTTGATGACTTAGAGGGTGATTGTCTGCTCTGTAAGTAAGCTCTCGCCATCATGACTTGATGTCAGACTCTCAACAAAGAGGTGTACAGTAGCTGCTGGAACAGAGTCAGCCATTACGTGCTTTGGGAGTGTTTGTATTGTGAGTATCAGGTGCCCCGTTTTATCCTAATTTGTTTCATGTGTACTTACATTAGAAATGCACCAATCAGGCTATTTCTTGCCAATTGAATTTTTTTTTTTAGGTCTAACTCAATTGATTTAATTTTTTTTTAAAAGACAAAAACAACGTCTATCTTTCATAGATGTTGTTTGTGTTCAGCAAAAAATAATTACACGATTTTATAAATTCTCATCAAAAGCAGATAGTTTTTAGTAGAATCAAAAACGAGCATAAAATTATGTACTGTTGGTTTATAGCTGCTCTGCCAAAAATAGAGGTTCTTACGTTTGTAGGTTAGCCCCATTTCTGCATCAAAGCATACAGTGGTGTATCGTGCACTAATTGCATGCATCTCTCTTTATTTGGTTTATTTAACTAGTTTTTTAAGGAACTATATTTTATAAAGATCTAAAATTTGCATGAAATGGCAAAAGATACCTATTTTTGGACCTTTGATAGTCACAGATAAAATCTGTATGTTAATCAAGTTGGAATAAGTCAAACCAGTGTGGACCAGGATCATGTATATGTATATTTATATGTTTGTTATTTTGCTTGACTTCCTATTTTTCTTTTCCTTTTACAAAAAGAATGCAGGTTTTGATCAACTTCAATGTTTTGAAGATTGTCTATTCACTGTAGAATAACTCAGAACTGAGTTATTCTACAGTGAATAGTCTATTCACTGTAGAATAACTCAGAACTGAGTTATTCTACAGTGAATAGACAAGCTATTTTAGTTTTAACTAGAAATGGCCAAAAATTTTATTTTTAGGTCTTTAAGTAGTCCTTTAGTTTTTGATCAACTTTATCAACCACCTGTGATGCACATCTAGAAATTCTGAGTGTTTTCCCCATATGCAACATAAGGCTCACCAGTCCTATTTAATTAGACATCTAATTGGAAGTTTCCCATTAAAAAAATAAATAAAAAAAAGATTTACTTGGGTTGCCCCAATCTGGGATCACACCCTATGTGGGGAGCCGTATCACCTCGTCTTTAGCTAATTTATTTTATTTTAGTCAAAACCCGCATCAGTTTTAGGTTTGGAGCCTAAAATGGTCAGAAAATGTCGTCATATTGCGATCTCTGGCTGATTGACTGGCGCTTCATTAGTTTGTATCCTTATATTCCAGCTTGGTATTTAAATTCACCTTGTTTGAGCTGTTGCCTTTTGGCCTCTTTCAAGTGTCACAGTGTAAAAGGCCCACCTCTGACTAATGAATATTTAAGAGTGTGTCTTCAGATGAAGGAAAGCCATTATTATATGAAGCAGACCCATGCAGAGGAAACCGTACACCTAAAATCGGGAGGAGGGAGGGGATGTGGTGATCAGTTAATCCACACCCAGCAATCAATCCCACTTTTCTGTTTTGGCTTCAGACATTTTTTTTTTTTTCACTCGTCGCCCTCGTTTCTCATTTTACAATTCATTGTTGACCAAGAAACTGTCACAAAGTGTTAACAGGCCTTTTTAGTTTGGAAATGCTTTTTGACTGATATTTGTCACGCTTTCACACGTTTCTCCCACCTGATCATTTGGATTTTACTCAATTGACAAAAAAAAGAGGAAAAAAAACGTGTGAGTATACATATAATAAAGTGCTTTTTGAAAGAGAGGACAGAAAACAATCATCTTGTACTGTACTTGCTCGCAGATGGCAGATCGGCGTTCCAAACAATTTTTTAAATGCTGTTGAAGAGGCTCTGTTGCCCAAACAGACGAGATAGAGACGTCACTCGGAAGCCTCGGCAATTCTGTGTCTCTGGCTCTGCGTTTACTCACAATATTCAGCCACTCTGCTCAGACTTTTACCTGGTGATACTGGTGGCCTAGATCTTGCATAACTAAATTTATATGAGTTTATTTTTTCTTTCCAAAGCCCATTTTGGTCTTCGGTTATTACAGCACATGGTGAAAATACTTGGAGATGACATTCACACACACACACAAAGACATTCACACACACACACACACACACACACACACACAAAAAGAAATAAAAGAAACTTTTGGAAGTCTACATTTTGATTCAAATTGAACTGTGCTCTGATAATATTCTAATAAAAATGTTAAGTACCTGTCCTGTTTAACCTTTTCAGATGAATCCAAGCTAATTCTGGGATTCCAAAATTTTCCACTAAGGTAATTTTAACCACTATGTGAGGAAAAAAAAAAAAGACTTGCACTTGAATCCATTGTTGCACTTTGTCTCACACAGTTGAACATATTTGGCAGCCATTTTGGGAATGCAGTCGAGATCCATCGATATAACGAGCCACTTTGTGGATGGCATCCAGAATGTCACAGTGCTTGTAATCAACTGGTCCTTTTGTTTTCTGGCAGACTTTATCCTTCTCTATTTTTTTTTTATGGCTGGACTGAACAATGTTCTTCTCCGGAGCTATGTCTTTTGTTGAGATTGCCCACTGAGGCTGTTTTCAGGTGCAATACTATAAAGTTAAGAAGTCTTAAATTCACATACTTAAATTAACCGCAGAGTAGCCTTAAGCCTTTAATAGACTTTACAGATTTGTTTTTGTGGAAGAAAATCACAGGAAGTTTCTCATCTGTTTTTTCTTGTGAAGACTCAGGAGACAGAAGTTACAAGTAGCGTTCTAAAAGGACACATCGATTAAATGCTTTCAGTCTCAGCTTTGAAAAATGCACAAACGTGAAATAATCTAATGCCTTCTAATTAGACATTCACTGTTCTAGCTTTTACTTGGTAACACTGATTTCTGGTTTTCTTTAAGGATCTGATTCATTGATTTCAGTTTTATCAAATTCTCTCTTTTTTTCCCCATGATAACAATATAACTCATCAGAGTTAGGCTGATGTGCATTTATGTTAGAGATGCACCAATCAGGCTTTTCCCGTGGCATTACCAATTTCAGGGTTTCTTTTACTGACTTTTTTTTCTTGTATAGGACTATTACACATAAAAGCAGAAAAATGAGCTGCTGGTTCTTTGATAGAGCAAGTATTTTTGGATATGACAGAA